GGGGGGGGGGGGGGGCACCCCCTTTTTTTTTATATCCCTTCCCCCCCCTTCCCAGACCTTTTCCAGCCAGATCCAGCCTCGTCCTTGTCTTCCAGCTGGTGGTGAAACGTCTGGGATACGACACCAGGGTCACCATCCTGGGCCACGTCCAGCGCGGTGGGACCCCCTCGGCCTTCGACCGCATCCTGGTAGGCACCTCCATCCTGCCCTGGGGAGGAAAGAGGGGGGTCCAAGAGGGGGGTCCCCATCCTTGTCCCCATCCCCGTGCTTGTCCCCATCCCTGTCCCTGACCTGGGATTGATACAAGCCCTGGGTCACCATCCTGGGCCACGTCCAACGTGGTGGGGACACCCTCCCCCTTCAACCACAGCCTGGTAGGGAGATCCCTCCCACCCAGGAGGGAAAAGGGGAGGGGGCAGGGGGGGGGATAATGTCCCTGTCCCCATCCCTGTCCTTGACCTGGGATAGACACAACCCCCAGGTCACCATCCTGGTGGTCCAGCGTGGTGGGATGTTCTCCACCTTCAACCACATCCCAGTAGGCAACTCCCTTCAGCCCTGGGGAGAAAAGGGGGAGGTCCAAGGTGGTAGTGGGGGGGTGTCACCCATCCCTGTCCTTGTCCCCAACCCTGTCCCTGTCCCCACAGGGCAGCCGGATGGGGGTTGAAGCTGTCATGGCTCTGCTGGAGGGGACCCCAGAGACCCCTGCTTGTGTCATCAGCCTCTCGGGCAACCAGGCTGTGCGTCTGCCCCTCATGGAGTGTGTCCAGGTGGTGAGTTTTGGGGAGGGGATGGGACCCCCAGGGCCCCCCCCCGGGGGGCCGGGAGGGGTCCGGGGGGGCCCTGAGGGTCCCGTCCCCTCCTCTATTGGGGTGCAGTGCTGTGCAAACAGGGCTGGGGGGGATGCAAGCCCAGCTGGTGCAGCAAAAACACAGGTGGGGAGGGGTGAAGAAGGGGTGCAGTGCAGTGCAGAGCCAGTGGGTGCAGTGCAGAGCCAGTGGGTGCAGTGCAGAGCCAACGGGTGCAGTGCAGAGCCAGTGGGTGCAGTGCAGAGCCAGTGGGTGCAGGGCAGGGCCAACGCGTCCCGTCCCCTCCTCTATTGGGGTGCAGTGCTGTGCAAACAGGGCTGGGGGGGATGCAAGCCCAGCTGGTGCAGCAAAAACACAGGTGGGGAGGGGTGAAGAAGGTGTGCAGTGCAGTGCAGAGCCAGTGCGTGCAGTGCAGAGCCAGTGGGTGCAGTGCAGAGCCAGTGGGTGCAGTGCAGTGCAACCCCAGGCAGTGCCGTGCAACCCCCTTGCGTGTGATGTAAAGGCACAGAGTGCAGTGCCAACCTGTGCAGTGCAGTGCAAGCCAGTTACAGTGCAAACCTGCTCAGTGCAGTGCAAAGCAGTGCAGTGGCAACTTGTCCAGTGCACTGCAAACCCTGCCTGTGTGGTGCAAAGCCGTGCAGTGCAGTGCAAGCCTGTCTAGTGCAGTGCAAACCAGTGCAAATCAGTGCCAGTGCAAACCTACTCAGTGCAGTGCAAATATATTCAGTCCAGTGCAGAGCAGCTCAGCACAGACAAGTGCAGTGCAGTGCAAACCTACTCGGTGCAGTGCAGACCAGTTTGGTGCAGTGCAGACCAGTTCCACCCAGTGCATGAAACACCGGGTTGAACCGTGAGTTTGATGCTGAGCTTTCCTTCCCAGCTCCCCCTGGATCCTCCCCTGCAGCTCCACATGGGCTCTGTGCTCACCCCCCCGGCTCCCAGCGCCCCCCCCCGGCAGGGGCAGGACCCTGAGGAAGAGGAGGAGGAGGATGATGGTCCCTTGGGCAACCAACCCCCTGGGCAGGAGGTGGCCAAGTTTCCCTACGTGGAGTTCCCAGGGCAGGACAACATCCCCTGCCCCACCTGCCAGGGCACGGGCTGCATCCCTGCAGGTGCTGCATCCCCAGCTCCCACCCCTCCAAAAACAGGCTGGTTCCTGGATTTTTGGGTGTTTTGAGTGTTTTTTTTGTCTTCTTCTGGGACTCATAAACATCTGCCTTTGGTTTCCCAGAGCAGGTCAATGAGCTGGTGGCTCTGATCCCCTACAGTGACCAGAGGCTGAGGCCCCACAGGACGTGAGTGGCTGGGAAGGGAGGGACAGCAGCCCTGGGAGAGCAGAGGGGGCTCTGGTGGTGGCATCTGGGGATGGGTTGGGTTGGAGGGACCTTGGGGATCATCCAGTCCCACCCCTGCATGGGCAGGGAC